ACATATTTGAGATAGATGAAAGGCTGTACTAACATTGTCAGAATTCACCCCTAAGTGCTTTGGAAAAACCCTCAATAATATTTCTGTGTTTTTTTTTTTCCAAGTGCTATTGCCTGTTGGGATTAAAAGAAGAGAAGAATCCTTGGCTCTGCACATCAATAAATATGGCAGACTTGTCAAGGAAATAAATGTGGATAAATCTGTGGAAAACAACCACTCTTTAACGGTTATTGGCTTCACACGCAGAGAATTACGCCTCTTAACCCTCTCCCATCTGCTAATTGAAATAGATGGCGCATTGTTATGTTCATTTATATGTAGTTCTAGGGACTTTATCACTCACTCAAAATAGAAAATGTATGTAGTCTGCACTTTTCAGACTTAATGTCTTTGTACACTTCATTTGATTGATGACAAWGTCAAGGAGCTCACAAAGAAGTCTTTTTATACATGACTGGCTGCTCCAGCTGTCAGATCAGCTGTGCTTTTCACCCTGTCAGGCTTCTGGTGTAGTCTGCCACTCTTCAAGCTTTGTAATAGCAACCAGGTCTTTGCTTAGATTCCTGAAAACCTGATACATTTGTCTGCAGCCTACTGCATCTTTGTGTGCAACATGTACACTGGGAAAGTACCAGTTATACATCAAAACAAATGACGTGTTTTGGCTTTCTTTTTAATGTTAGACAACATCAAAAAGGACAAACTGGATGATGATCAGTGTATATGTAATAAAAGTGATTAAAGTTGAAACTCTGATCATGGCTATCTGAATAAAAATGGCATTTTTCTTCCATTCAGTGTTTAAAGGCCAACACACAAAGTTCACTTCAAATCCACTTATTTTTAAACTTTTAGGCAAAATTATTGTGCAATTTGTGCCTCACAATCTGTGTTGGGTATCAGTCTCAACAACTACCACACCAAATTTCAGGACATTGTATTTAAATTTGACTGGGTCATAGCTGTTTTTTTTTTTTTTTTTTTTTTTTTTTGTTATTTGTCTGTTTAATATGCATTATTTAAGACTGGTTGACGGTTGTGGCTATCTTGAAACAAACTCATAAAACGAATCCGTTGAAGTTGGCATTCGATGATTTTTTTTTCTGCAAGTTTTATTCAAATCAGTGTAGAGGTTAATGAGATATTTTGGTAACAGACAGAAGTGCGCACAAGCACACAGACGTGGGCAACAACAAAATTGTCTGGTTTTGTCTTTTAAGAATTACAATAAACATTGTTAAAGAAAAACAATCTATATTTATGAGTTATTTGTGAATGATTGGTACATAAAAATTTATGAAGCACAAACTTCAACTCATTATTCTCTGATTCTATTCCCACTTGTCATCTTTTTTGTTAAATTTAAATTTTGTTGCCTAATTTACTCCAAGGTTAGAATAAGTAATGGCTGACCTACTTTCTTTATTTAAATCTCCGTGTCCTAACTSTACTTAAAAAATACTGATGCCGAAAATTTAATCAAAATCTTCATGCATGCATTTAAAATATTAAGACWGATTTTTTTGTTGCAATTGTTTTGGGTTTTAAAACAGTATTTTAAATGCTATAACGGTGGTTAGAGTATTTTGCCTATTAATGTCTCTCTGCATTATTTCTTTGGAGAGTGATTTCCATGAGTAAAAGTGCTCTCCATCCCTATGGATTATTATGCATGAGAGGATACTGTATGGTTGTCATAACTCAGCTCTATCTACAGCCAACAGTCAGACTGCACCACAGAGGAGGAGTTCACAGCTTATAATTGATCATCCTTCTGTCACCCATCATTTTCTGCTCTTCTTAGGATCGGTTGATGAGYAATATGTGGACATGTAGTGATAAAAGATGCTTACAGCTTCTSTTGTTCCCTGTTATCTCTAGTTTGAAAAATAATTCTGAAATTACCCTTGCTCGATCCAAATCTCTTTATGGACTGGACATTTTCTGTTTTGTCATCATTGATAATATTCACTGTTGCTGTTTGCCATTGGGAATTTGCATTGACTTCCATTCAGRTTCCGGTCATTTTAATAGCCTGAACCTTTACCCTAAATTCACACATTTGCAAATTACAGCCTTATTCTTAGCTTGTTTATCTTCTTTTTGTATATATGTGTTTTTCTTTTGCTCACCATTTCCTARATCCTTTAGCTGCAGCAGCATCTGCTTGCATTTTTCTCCCTAACTTATAGAAACTTGCAAAAATCACACACATTTCCCCTAAAGGTTTTATGATAATATCTTAAGGGACAAGTCAGAAACTGTGACTAGTCTCTCAAGTGGTATATTCTTAATTTTAACCCCCAAAATGCAGTTCCAAGTTATGTGATTATAGGAAAAAAAATTGTACAGGTCCTCTGGACGGGTTCTTCTTTAATGACCAGAGGACCTATACAATTTTTTTTCCTTTGATTTTTTACCTGGATTACTGAGATGCATCAGGACGTCATGTGATTATATTGTGCTGAAATCCTAGGACTGTATTGAGAACTGATGAGGGCTYCATACTTCTGCATCAGTGCATGCTGGTTTTCTGTGAAACATTCACAAAAGCAGAATTTATCTCATTCCCTTACTGCAGCCCTCTTAAATACACCAGTGCCTGTGCAGCCCAAATGACAGCTGTGAAATAGTTCTATTACCCTCAAGACCCTTTGAAAAGCTACTTTTAGACCAAATATTTCTAAGGACTTTCTGAAGGTTARAGGAGGACACCGTACTTCTGAGGGCTTTCTCCACAGCTTTCATTTGTTCTCTGGGTGCTGAGATGTTACAACAGCCAACCAGCAGGTTGTAACACAGTCAAAAATCKTATTTTAAGTCTTTGTAATCATGTTAGGTTCTGTTCTTCTATCGGTTACATGTATTAGCTCTGATCAAATGGGCATTGCTCGAAAGAGTGAATCTTGTTCCACTCTGTACAACTCCAGTTGTCCTCACRAGTCCCATCTTCATTTTTTATCCAGTGTTTTTGTTTTATTGTTAATGAAAAGGTTAATAGCAACRAGAAAAAGCTTGGGTGCCATTGTGGGAATGTGCTCAAGGGGACAGAAAAGGGCAGGGGGAAATGAGTGAAAACTTGCTTCTTTTTTTAATGAGACCAAAACTGGCAGGTCTGGTGCTCTCACGAAGAACAAAGTGACAAAGGATGTGGGTCCTGACTGTTTGAGAAGAAGAGTTAGATGGGTAGAAACTGRTAAAGAATTTTAAGAAGCTGTTTTKATTCTCATTCACAACTAAGACAAAAAATATAGGGATTTATTGCCTTTAAGAGGAAAGCAGGTAGAACAAGTGATTTGGGGAATACATAAAATGGGACAAAGCAGAAGAGCGGAAAAAAAGTGGCCAAAAGAGGAAAAACGAGAGATATTTTGCTTCTGACCTTCATCTTCAAATAAAACACTACAGGAGAGGATTTGGTGCTTTCTTGCTTAAAGGCAAGGGGATGAATGTTAAACACTMTTAAAGCTGAAAAGTCCTGCACTACAGGAATTCCTGTTAATAATCTAAAAAAAGGAAAGTAAAAATTGCTGTTTATTATTTAAACTGCAGGACATCCTGGAGGTTGAGTTATTGTGCATTGAGGARGATTCCACTCAATCATCCAAGACACTGATGTTTTGATTGAATATTCAGCTTAAAACTTTGACTTTTAAGAGAAAATAAATATTAATGCTACCTTTGTTCAGGTGTTGATTTGGATTAAAGGACTGAGTAGATTATTTGAAATCAGGCAAATGTGACAGTAAGTGCAGAAAGTGAATAAAAGAGTTTCTACATCTGCTATTAAGGCACTCTGGCTCTTTTTTTTCAATAAATACGGCTATTCATTGAATGGTGTAATGCTGTATAATGAAATTAAATCAATTTAAATTTCTAATTTTGAATTTAACCTTTTTTTGTTTAATGCCACAGCAGACAAAGCCCATAAATTGTGGACCCGATGAATGGAATGAGACAAGTGAAACCTGAAATTTGAATGACTGATTTGATTATTCATGGTGAATGCCAACTCTGCAAAATATCTCACCCATCCTATGACTCCAGRGTGGTGGTGTTCTGCACATGAGCATGTGCTATTCAGAGTGCATCTACGTGTCACATTCACTTTGTTTAAGCTGTTAAAGGGCTAACAACTTTGAGGGCACTGAAAGTCATACTGGGTGATGACTGTCGAGTTCGCCCACAGGGAAATACAGACAAAGAGGCAAATGGAACATGACAGTGGAAGATGGGTGTTCTGAGGACAAAACTCGAAATGATAGTTTCTTGTTAAGTTTCTGTTTATGCGTGGAGGTCTTTTATGTTCCAGTGCTTCACGTGTGTTTGTTTCAGTTTTGATCCTTCGAGTGAAGCGTTCTGGATCGTTTTCTGCCTGTCGATTTTTCTTTGCATGCCCTTGACCGCTTGCCGTGAATCTTAATTCCTTTTTGGCTCACAAATCCAGTATTTCAGCATTTTCTCTCAGTCTTGCATCTTTTTTTRATGTGGGGAGCTTTTTCGTTAATTCCCCTTCAAGACTTTTATGAAGGCAACTCTTTGAGATTTGTATTTATTTTGTCTTAGTTTGAACCTTAAAAGGCAATAAATAGATTTGCTTAGACTGTTCAGAAGATCTGCATTGTACAAAGAGCTAGAGGAAAATATGTCAAAATGTGGAACCTTTTTACTAGGCACATGTTACTTTCTTCTTATTGTTTGCTTTAAGAAAATCAAATGTTTGACTGCAGAGGGAGTTCTGAATACTGGTTACAGAGGCACGTGATATGGATCATCTATTAGCGGTTTGTTTGCTGGAGAGTGTTTGTGCAAACAGATTAAAGGTTAATAGAGTAAAAGCTATAGATCAGCCTAATTAGTGCAGATCACACAGGCTATAGCAGTAATGCTTGTAAAAAATAACTATCATCATCATTGATCATTCCATGATGCCTCACGATTCTTAATGAATGTTAATTACTTTCACTGAAATTAGTCAATGAGGTGTGATACCTATAATATTACCCCTCACTAATACGAAGGGTCTGCAATGGTTTTTTTATGTAAAAGCAGGGTCTGCAATCCAAAACCCAATCAATCCTGTCAAGTGTGCTGCCATGTGCAAACAAAACAGCTTGATTGGAGGGTTTTAAAAAAAACATCTCATAAAGATACAAACACAGAGATCATTGCAGGAACAAGCATGCACACACAAGACACCCAAGCGCACACAAAAAAAATAAAATAAATAAATAAAACACAGAATTACTGGACACTTATACAAGAAAAGTAAAGACTGCTTTCCTTGGTGGCGGTGTTACCTCCACCAGGGACGATAAATGTCACTTCTCATCTCGTCATCACATGACCCTCTGCACAAAGGATGGATGGAAATCCATGAATGGAGAGCAGGAGGGAGGCATTGTGTCCAAGGGCTAAAATTAGCAATGATTCCTCCCCCAAGGTTTTGCAAGGACGTTCAGAGTACAGGCAAACATGTGTGTTCATTTGACAAATACATGCACTTACTTAGACATTTACTAGTGTCATTTCTTCCACTTTCTTTGTAAATGTGTGTATAACACACACACACACACACACACA